TTTTTTAGGAGATCCACCCTTTCTACCCGCCTGAATGGTATACAACACCGCGCGATTTCTCGCGCCAACTCTCATAAATTGACCGATACTGAAGAGGAATCTCTTCAGAAATGGATATTCTCTATGGACGATCGTGGTTCAGCTCCACGACCTTCAATGGTGCAAAAAATGGCGAATGTTCTACTTTCGCATCGCGGAATCAACCCATCATCTACAGTCGGCAAAAATTGGGTCACTAATTACATTAAACGATATCCCAATATATCCTCGAGATTCTCCAGACGTTACAATTACGAACGTGCTAAATGTGAATATCAAAAAATCATTGGTGAATGGTTTACACTTGTTCAAAAAACGATTCTTCAATACGGCATTGACAACGATGACATTTATAACTTCGATGAGACTGGTTTTGCAATGGGATTAACCGCAACTGCTAAAGTCATTACGAGATCTGAATACTACGGTCGGCGATCACTTTTACAACCTGGAAATCCCGAATGGGTGACTGCAATTGAATGTACAAATGCTTCAGGTTGGGCACTACCTCCATGCATTATTTTCAAAGGCAAAGTATTCATTGGATCTTGGTTCGACAATCTTCCAAATGATTGGCGCTTCGAAGTCAGTCCTAATGGATGGACCTCTGATGAAATTGGCCTTCGATGGCTTGAAAAACTATTCATTCCATCGACTTATTCACGGACAAAAGGTCAATATCGACTTTTGATACTTGACGGACATAGACTTATATATCTGTCGAGATGTGTGGTGCCACCCTGAGATAGGTACAAATGCCTCAATGGTGCCACCCTGAGACAGAAAACGTTTCAGAGCTCTTCGTTTCCTACTCCCTGGGTGACTCCCCTGGAGTCACTGCTGGGGTCACGGTCACGTGATGTCCTTGTTGTCCCAAAGGGTGTTGCTGATGTATCGAGGTACATACACACCAGACTTTAGTCCAACTCAGGGTGGATCATGCTCTTGCTCAGTGAGCATGATCGGGACTTCCGTTTCCTTCGATACCTGGGAACGCCAGGGTATACAGTGTTGCACGTGATCTGCTGACAGATAGATCTATTGGCTCTTGGTGGCCCATCTGTGTACCCGGTGGGGCACCACTGATTGGTGACGGGCAGGTCCGTAACAATTTTCTTCGGCGAGTAAGATAGCACCTTGCATTGTAAGACGGAAGCCTTTTATAAGCTGGTTTAATGCACGATCTGACGGGCTAGGTAGGCTTCGAGATCTTGTACGAAGTAAAGCTTTGATTGATGAAGCTTGACGACGTAGTTCTTTCTCCGTAAAGGGGGTTTTTGGGGTAAAATTCCGGCTTGATTCACTCCCCCGGCTGGCTAGGGGGGTTAGGGTTCGAAGCCGAATATTAAGCTTTGAAATCACTCGGTCGGGTGTAAATAGTACTAAACTAGCTACTCCGAGGCTATTTTTAATAGTCTCCGATTTAAAAGCTTCAGTTCGTGCGAGAGGGTATACTTCGAGGAAGTTAAGTTTGTCAATATAGTTGATCCCGTTCTGTATCTTAGTTTTGACTATCCGACTGTACGCACGTTTTAACACCGCAAAATAACCAATATCTAAAGGTTATAAAATATGAGATAAATACGCTAGTATGTAGATTGGTATCACCTTATTTTACTCGTAAATTTTGTTAAATTGAGGTGTTAAATAACTTCCGTGGCCGTTAGGTATCAAAAGCTGGTATACCCCCTTCGTATATAAAGTCCTAGGAATAAAGACCTTCTCTAGCTAGCGAAATCAAATTTTATTAGAAGTCTAGCCGTTAGGACTAACTTCGAAGCGCTAATCCTCCGGGAGACTATTAAACTAGGATTCAATAAAGACTTTGCCTTGAAAAATCACACACGGAGGAAGCGCCCACCTAGAAGCATTCGTATATTCAACCACCGTCACCTATTCACGATTTCTAGGTTATAAAACCGGCCTCAGACCGTAGTATTCACTCCTCGTAATAACCTTCGTAGTTATAGTCAATCCTATTGCAAAACCGGTCTTATCAAAGTTATAGATATTATTAGGGGATATACTGTTGGCACAGCAGTCTAAACCCCTTTAAGATTTTAGTCCTTGGCAGTCCATTTTCAATACCAGTGCAATTTTATATGGTATCGCCATAGTAAAAAACACTGCCCCCCAACCACCCTAGCCACATAGTACCTCTCTGCTCGGCCCCATATTAATTTAATGCCTCCAATAAAATCACATGACCTGTATAGGGCTAATTAATTAGGGTTAGCCGAGTGTCCCACACATCCGTCAATTAATTTTGATCCCCCATTGTAAAAGCTTCATTTTTGTACGACCTTTTTATATGCCTTTTTTACATACCATTCTTGCATACAATATATGCCTTCCACTGAGCATACCCCATTTCACTGTGTGGGACACTCGGCTAACCCTAATTAATTAGCCCTATACAGGTCATGTGATTTTATTGGAGGCATTAAATTAATATGGGGCCGAGTCCATATGTACAGAGCTAAGTCAACGTGGCTAATGTGGTTTTAAAGGGGGTGTTTTTACTGTGGCGATACCATAATAAATGACACTTAGGCTGAAAAATTGGTGCCAAGGCAGTCTTCACCTAATTAGGTTAGACTGCTGTGCCAACAGTATGTCCCATTATTAGGGTCGATGTCACGGTGCGAACCGTGGTGCTTAGTAAGAGGAAGATCACGTCACGTGATCTCCGACCTGTTTATCCGAACTTCAGTTCTAGATCCTGTTGTAGCTCTTCGAGCTACGTCTTGTATAATAGCCTGCCCCTGTCTGTACCTGTCAATGGGAATCTGATCTGTTACGACCTGTTCCTACCAGTCATCTCCTATCATACCGTCCTGCCAGCCCGCACCCTGACAGTCGATTCCAAATTAAAGGATTATCTTTTGAACTAAATTAAACCACTCCCTAATGATTTTAGGATCTTCGTATTTCGCACGCTTGTAGTTGTATCGTTTCGAGAATCGGGAGGATAGGAGAGGATGCCGTTTCACGAAGTTATATACCTATTTCTCGCCGACCGAAAGAACCGGGGTAGTTTCACGCTTTTGAAGAAGAAGATCTGCCATTTCTTATACTATAGAGGGCCGGGGGGCTGATCCACGAGAATCCATAGAGAGGATCCATTTCTGAAGAGATTCCTCTTCAGTATCGGTCAATTTATGAGAGTTGGCGCGAGAAATCGCGCGGTGTTGTATACCATTCAGGCGGGGGTAGAAAGGGTGGATCTTGGGACGTTAAAACGGCGGGCCACTTCACGAATTGAAGAGATTGCTTGATTCTTAAAAGCCTGGATAGCTAGTAAGATCATACCCTCCTGCTCTATTGAATTTCGAGAGGAATGAGTACGAATTGGTGGCATAGTGGGTGGTTGAACTGACTAAGTGCTAATTCCTAGACTCGTTTTGGTTAAGGGTGGCGGCTCGCTTGTGAAATACGTTAAGCGTCGGCGTGATCAAGATGACTAAGCTAACTGATGTCATCCCGCCCTGCTATGCTACACACCGCCTTTGGAATGTTGATTCCCCGTATGATCAGTGCACACAACACATGTACACAGACCTATATACATGTTTATGGATACTCAAAGCATGTATCTCCTTGGTAAGAGAGCTTAAACCCCTTTCCTTCCAGAATTTGTTTTTTTTTTAAAAAAGTACAGATTGGCATGTGCTTTGTGACAGAGACTAAATTAGACTAAAGCTCTTTCCTCCATCTCCATCTTTGTTTAGTAGCTTTCTTTTTTTTTTGGATAACATCAGGACAAGAATAGAGTGCTGGACAGTGAGTTGAGACTACAAATCTATTCTACGCATCTATTGCAAAATCCCGCCTAGGGATTGAAACTATCAATTTTCAGGGGGGCTGTTCTTCCCAAAAGTGTAAATAGTAATGTGTCTCCAAAAACAACGTGGCCTTTTTTGAGGGGGTCGGCATATTCACGTCTTGATCCCTTCCCCATCCATATCTGTCTTCCTCAAATCTCTATACACAACCCTATCATGGTAGGTAAAAAGGATGCTATCCTGCCGTGGATGATAATTAACACCTGACAGGCACAAACACCACAGCAACGTCGAGCAAACGACCGCTTCGCAAAGACCGAGGCCGCGAAGAGAGGAAAGGCGCCAACCACAATCAAACCGAAGAAGAACACAAAATCACCCCTTTCAGCAAGCTGGGTTGGTATGTATCTAACTCCCCCCTATTAAATTGAATCATGCTTAATGAAAGTCCCAGTATTACTCGCTTTTGTTGTTTGCGGCGGTCTTTTCCTAGAGCTCCTCCGAATTGTCCCTGACCTCTGGTCCACCATGGTCTCATGGTTCACCCGGATCACAGGATGAAATGATCTTCAAGCGATGATTCCCCTACTGCGCCAATACCCTGGCTCACAACCTTTCATCTACTTTGTGTCAGCATGACCGATTATCCCACGTACTACTGTCTGATCCCACTCGCATCAAGTGATCAATGGGCCAGGGAACAAGGGATGGATCTGGGGATAAATGAACGTCAAAATCAAGATGGTTTGCAATATTACAAAGCTCTTTCCCCCCACCTTTTGTTTTTTTGGAAATTTGGATTATTTGATTGTATCTCCCTGTTGCTGCTTGAGCTAAATCCCACAACGTGCTGCAATATTTACTCCGCCGGGAAGATCTTCAATTCTCGCCCGATAGCTCGTCTGGTTCCTCGGTCTTCTTCCTTGTCTTTTTCTTCTTTCCTATTGCAGACTTTGTAGGGTCTTCAACCACCGTGCCAACATCTCTTTCTGAAGAAATGTGCTTGTTCGTATTCTTCTTCTTCTTTTTCTTCTTGACTAGGGTTCCTTCTGCCGGAGTGCCCTCTAATTGGATTCGCTCCGATGCTCGCTGCATCCGCAATCGTACTTCCTCCACTTGTTGCAATGCTCTGGCCATTTCTGTATCCCCTTCATCCGCGAGAACTTGAGAAGATGGGCCATTTGCCAAGGACAAATTTCCTAGGCTGCTCGAGTCAACTTGGAGTAAAGAGCGCTTATATTTAGGGTGGGCATCACCGGCACCCTTGGGCCTGGACGTGTCTGTCAAAGAGTTTGGGGGTTCAAAAGTCTCATCGCCAGCAACTAGCAATTTGCTTCCAGGGGTTCGACGGCTTCTTTGGCTATCGAAATCCGCATGGCTGAGCTGTTCATCTCCCAATTTCAGGTCAACTATGGGTATGGAATCAATGTCCAAGACCTCGCCATTGGATGTGTTCAGAGCTTCATGGAATGGCGTAGACGTGCCAGACGACTCTCCAGAAGGAGCAATATAGAAGGGGTCATCCTTGAAGCGTTCCATACGCTCGAGCATTCGTCTTTGTACTGCAATAGAGGATTCCACCGGAGCACCGGTAGATTTTTGATTTGACGCATGGGGCTGCAAATCAACCAGTGCAAGGTCACGAGTCTGCTTGTTGGGAGTCGAGAGTTCAGGAAGATGGTAGAAGTCTGACATTTCCCAAGAATTTGACTTGTGTAATGTTGGGCTATCCAGGTTGCGGAAAAGACTTGGCAGATCATGGCCGAATGGCTCATCTAGGCGAAGGCTATCCGGCAAGACAACCTTCTTTTGGGCACTGACCGCAACAGGGTTGAGTTCGAGCCCTGTAAATAGGTTTGGTATGACCGAAGCGAGAAGGAATGGCATTTCCTCTGTATTGGAAGTCAATGCCTCGGCTGCTAGGCGTAGGACTTCTAGGAACTCGATGGCTCGCTCTTGGACATCCAAATCAGGATGGGCCGCCATAGCCTCGAGGAACTCAACAACTCGAGCAAGTAAAAGCGACATCTCACTTTTCCAGAGATCTCCTGGTTGGCTAGTCTGGCTAACCCGAACAAACACCTTTGGAATGGCTTGCAAAAAGAGGGAAAGAGTACTAGAGGGAAGCGATGCATTAGAGATGTCAATCAATGACAGTAGTGTCCGATTAGGCGACAGCAGATATTCAGCGTATTCACCAACAACCCAGGCGACAGGGCCTAAGATACCGGCGCCGATAGTTGAACTGGAAGGGAAGAAAGTTGATCTGTTGTCGACAAACATGAGAGACTCGGCTGCTCTTGTGGCCTCCATACGCACACCTTTTACTCTAACAGCAACATTGCGAATCTCTGTCCCTATTCGAAGCGCCGGATTCATCCTCAAATTGGGCATAGCCTCTTGCTCTTTCGGATGGCCCCAGTCGTCTTCACTCTCCGATGGTGGGAGAAGTCCGACTAACTGGACTAGCACAGCGACATACCACTCAAAATCAACAATTTCAGAGTAGTTCTTTTGAGAACAAAGATCCAGAATCCGGTGAACAACCTCAGTCTGGTAGTCGTTGGGCCATAATGTTGGGGCTTTAAGGCTTTCGGGGCTTTCGGGAGTGTCGAGCAATTCAGCTGCAAGAATAGAGGCTTGCTGCAGCTGATCTAGCAGACGGTTCACTACTGGCTGGAGAGAATCGCTGCTAACCATCCCAACGGCAAGTTCTAAAGCCTGCAATCGGATAGAAACGTCGGCATCGTCTAGACAATCCATAATCACGTCTTGCTGCATGGAAACCAACGTTGGATGTGTGGCAACAATGCGGTTCAACGCAAGAAGTGCGACATATTTGACTGCCTTGACGGTTAGTGATCGTATACTGAAACGCAAGGTAAGGAAACTCACGATTAGGGTCACTATCCATCACTATCATACCCCGCAATTTCCCGACACAAAGAGTGGCAACTTCGTCCCTTTCCTGGAGATCCTCTTCTCCATCTAAAATTCCCCCTTGGATGATACCATTGATACATTCATAGAGCAGAGACATTGCGGAGGTGGTTTGAATGATATTCGTCAATGGACGCAGAAGTTTGCGAGTCAGCCTTGGCTCTAGCGGGGTTAATGTTGCAAACTAGAAAAGTCAAAAGGTGCTCAGAAAATAGTCATTCCAAGGGTTTAGGGGCATAGGAGACTGACAAGTTTGATGATTTTGATGGCCATCCAATTATTGCCGCTATCAACCAGAAGCTCAAAGAATCGAGGTGCCAGAGGGAGGAAGTCATGAGGCCGTCGCCAACCAAGCTCACAAACCACGTTGATCGCCGCAGTAGTGACACTTCCATCTTCTTGATCGTCCATCAAATGGTCTTTTATCTTGGGCCATGCCAACTTCAGAGCCTCGGGATACACTAAAGCAAGCCTATAGAGGCAGACAATCGTTTTCTTGCGCACCACCGGGCTTGAGTGTGAAAGTCGAGAAAGTAAATCGGGAAGCAAGGAAATTGCTAAGGAGGGTGTGATAATGTGCGGCAAAGTAATCAGAGGAAGTGACATGTTGGGGATCCTGGGGGTGACAATGTCCTGCAAATATCATTAGCGACTTAAAGGGGAATTAAAAGCCACGCAAAGTGCAAACCTTCTTTAACAAGTTGGTTGCCAGCATCAGAACTTCAGTGTCTGGTCGAAAGCTCTGCACTGCTCCGAGATACCCGACTCGTTTTTGGAGGTATTTGGCGGATGACATGACTTCGAGAACGTGAAAAGAGGCCCAGGACATGTCATACCCAAACATTTCGAGATATATGAGCTTTAAGAGCGCTGTGGCTTTTTTGTCTACTTGTAGATCAGCACCAAGTCCATCGCCGGGTGAATAGGTGAGAGTTCGTCGTACCCATGTCTTGTGTTTTAATCTCGGCCTTGCACTCACGCAAGGAACTTTGGATGTATTCATTTTCACCTCCCTTATGAACTCTAAGACCTTTGATAAGGTCATAAAGCGATTTTTCGAACCTAGGGTTCCAGACATTAGCGTTTGCCAACAGAGAGCAGAAACATTAGAGTGCCCACATCGTGTCGGAGCTATCATTCGTCACAAGTTCGAGTCCGGAGAAGAATAACTATTAAGTCCCCTAGTAAAACCAGATATGCATTATAGATTTGTCAGATCAGCCATAGTTCAGAAGATTGATGAAAGTGAGTGCAAGTGAGTGCAAGCAACCCAAGCTCCGCAGGGTGGAGAGTTGGCACTTGGCCGATAAGAGATCAGATCACGGGACTGTGGCCAGTTAAGCTCCGGTACACTCAACATCAATCTTAACGCGATCACCCCTGTGCTCAAATTGCTTTTTTTTTTCCTTTTTCTTGGATTTAAAGGTCTCTTTGAAGCTGTACTGTTACTACTATTATGGCTGGTCCCGTTGCTGATATCCGCGAGATCAGGGGATCGGATTTGATCTCTGCTCTTCATCTTGCTCAACAAGCACCAGCAATCCTTGGTCAGGAAGCCGGGTCTTGGGTTACCTCATCCAATTCTCCAGAAACAGCAGACTACTATGCACGATTAGAGCAGCTTCTGTTGGCCTGTCTTCGGACGGGGGATGACGAGTCAGCACATACCTGCCTGAATCGCCTCAGCCTGCGGTTTGGACCCTCTAATGAAAGGATCATGGGGCTTAGAGGCTTGTACGAGGAGGCAACTGCCAAGGATCAGTCGGTACTAGAAAAATGCCTGCAGGAATACGACAACACCCTGTCACAGAGTCCAGTCAATGTGGTCAGTATTGGTTGCAGGCCCGTGGCGATGGGTCAAGACTGACCATACATACAGCCCATCTTGAAGCGCCGGGTAGCGTTGTTACGCTCGCTTAATCGACCATCTGACGCAATCTCTGGTCTGATCCAACTCCTCGATGCCACCCCTACCGATGCCGAAGCATGGTGTGAACTAGCCGACTTGTATCAGTCACAGGGGTTGGGTTCCCAAGCCGTTTTTAGCCTCGAGGAGGCTTTGCTCATTGCTCCTAACTCTTGGAATGTATGCATTCCCTTTTTTTTGGGGGGGGGGGGGGTTTCTTAAAAAAAATTTCCAAGTTTCTTAGGGTCACAATCACTAACATGACATGTGTAAGATTCATTCCCGCCTCGGTGAACTGCTATACATCTGCGCCTCCGAGGGGGACACATCCCGGCTCCTTGGGAGGTCGGTGCAGCACTTCAGTCGAAGCATTGAGCTTTGCGATGACTACCTGCGAGGATTCTATGGATTAACTTTGGTAAGTCAGCAAATAATGGTATTGACTCATTCCATTCTAACCCAGGTTTCCCCCCATAGGCCTCAACTCGGATGCTTGACAATAATTACGCAGGCGTATCTGGTCAACTTCCCAAGAAGACTTTAGAACGATTGAAGGCCTTTGCGCTCCTCAATTTGGGCAAAATTGTTGAGTCACGATCGATCAATGACCAACATTGGGCATCGAGTCGAAGTGAGCTGATTGCTGCCAAAGAGCTGCTGAATCGCCAATGAAGTAACCTTCAGGCGGCTTAAAACTAAGCCTTTTGATTTGACCAGAATACCCTCATAAAACCCCATCTGTTGATTCTAGAGTGTTCTATTCACGTGTATGGGGTTCAGATATGGAGCAAGTGGGTAAGGAATACGGAGTACTCCGTATAGAGAGAGAGATTGGGCATTTTCGTTCGGGCAGAGGGAAATGTTTAGAAAAAAAAAAAATTTCAATTTTCTCAAATTAAAACCACCACATATGCCCAACGAGCCTAATAGTTCACATCACATATTTAAGAAACTAACAAAAGGGACGTGGACCTTTTCTTTTCTTTTTTTTTTTTTTCTTTTCTACATAGTTAGATATACCCTGAAACTCGTGGACTATTTTGTATCTTTCCTATCCTTCCATCCCTCTCTTAAAAGGGGACCATTCTTCCTTTTTATCTTTTTCACTCTATTCAAAGAGATCAGATTCAAAAGAGGAAAGACAGAAAAAATAGTCACATGCGCAACAATTTTCCCCCGCGATCATCTTTTAACCTCTTGACATATTTCCCCCCCCCCCCCCCTTCCCCCAATCTACTCCGATCAATCCCTACTTGGGTGTTCCTTCCTCACTTCGCGCATGCGAGAGAGTGAGAGGATAGATTAAATTTTAGATTCTCCGAGGCTTCTCATTTTCTCCATGTCGTATGTTTGGGTTACGTTTTCCCTATTCCTCTATCCCTCTCTCTATTTCCCCCTCCCCCTGATTTGAGATAACCTTCTTTCTCACCCTTGTTCCCTCTCTCTCTTCTCCATAGGCTCAGTATCTCGATTGATCCAGACCCACACGTTTCGGATCACTCTTGCTCCGACGACGAGGGCTCGTCTGGTTTCCATGTACCTACATCTTCCGAGTTAGAAAACCATGAGTACCAGGATTGTGATGATGAGTGGGCGCATTTGACATATCCGGAGGAATTGAACACATCTGATTCGACCTCTCGATCAAGAACTTCACACCGCAGTCGTCCGCCCCACGGTTCACGCTCCGCTTCGGGCCGTCGCCCAACATCGCGACGTATGGTTCCAGAACATCAGTCGTTCGTCCCTCACAGCCGAACAGATTCTCCCGACAGTGCCGATTCCGCAGATGAGTACCCTCCCAATTTTGGTCGGTATGACCGGAGGGGTTGGCACCAACCTATGCCACCCGCCCCTGGATACGATCCCAGCCAGTCCTCTGGTCCATCTTACAGTCCCTACCCTCCTCCGGCCCCGGGCCATGGCCCGTATGTCCACCACAATCCTCCCCCGATTACATCGGAACTCATGAGAATTCCCCACCCGGTCCAACCCAACCCTTACGGTGCTCCTCCGCCTTATGGATACCTACCTCAGTTCCTACCTGGGTCTCATTTAATTCCCGACCAACCCCAAATACATCCACGACATGCGCCTCGCCAGCCGCCTCAACTGCACAATCCAATGCAACCGCCAATGCAACCGCCAATGCATCGCCAATGCATCCGCCAATGCATCCGCCAATGCATCCGCCAATGCATCCGCCAATGCATCCGTCAATGCAACCGCCAATGCAACCGCCAATGCATCCGCCAATGCATCCGCCAATGCATCCGTCAATGCATCCGTCAATGCATCCGTCAATGCCAATGCCGCACGCGATGGGTCCTCAGGGTGCACACTCCCCATACCCTGGATATCCTCACGACTTGATGGTCTACGGCCAGACCGGGTTCTATCCAGATCAACCCAACTATTTCGGGGGACCGATCCCGGGCATGATGCCTCCTCATTATTGGCCACCCTACCCCCCAGTGCCTTCTCCTCCAGTGCAACCCAAACCTAAATCCCCCTCACCGCCGACGCCTGCTCCCGAACCTGCTCCGGCCCCGGCCCCTGAACCCGCTCCCCCACCGCCACCGCCGCCTCCGCCTCCACCAATCGATACTTCCAAGGATGAGCAAATTGCGAGGCTAGAGAAGTTGATTCTGGACGATCGTCTAGACCGGGAAGCGAAAGAGCTTGCCAAAAAGCAGGCTATTGAACGCGCGGCCGCCGAGAAAGCAGCTCAGGATGCACAGCTCGCGCATGATAGGAAGATTACCCAAGAAGCTGCGGCGCTTGCTCGAGCGGATGCAGAAAAAAAGGCAGCAGAGGATGCCGCAAAGGCTAAGGAGGAGGCGGAGAAAGCCACGGCTGCGGCCGCTTCTGAGGCTGCAGCAGCGGCAACTGCCGCGGCCAATGAAGCGGCTGCCAAAGCGGCCGCAGCGGCCAATGAAGCAGCTGCCAAAGCGGCCGCAGCGGCTGCTGAAGCGGCTGCTAAAGCTGCCGAACCGCCACCACCACCGCCACCCCCAGAGAAGAAGCAGCCTATCAAATTTAAGGACGCCGTTGGGAGAAAATTCAGCTTTCCATTTGAGCTATGTGCTACCTGGCAGGCACGTCAACCCCGCACTCCATTTACATGGTTCTCTTATTCTAATGTTGGTTATAGGGGATGGAAGAGCTCATCCGGCAGGCTTTCCTTCATATCGAAGTCATTGGACCTCATGTGGCCGAGGGCCATTATGATCTTATTGGTCCGGATGGCGACATTATCCTCCCACAGGTTTGGGAAACTGTGGTCGAGCCTGACTGGGCTATCACTATGCACATGTGGCCAATTCCCGAAAAGCCAAAGGAAGACCCTCCTCCTCCTCCTCCTACTCCTCCTCCTCCTCCGCCTCCTCCTCCCCCTGCACCAGAGCCTGCCCCTGTTAAACTTGCGGATCCACCTGCCGAGTCGAAGAAGAAAGCAGATGGTAAGAATGTCGCTTTCAAATGCTCCCAGAGACATGCACTGACCTTTTCTCCAGGCCCTAAAAAAGTCAAGGCCCGAGGACCAGATGCCCCCGGGAGTTTCGCGATGTGGATTGCAGGTGGTTCCAATCGCCGGGGGGTAAAGGGGGTTTTAAAGTGGAAAAAAAACCTGATGCCCCTCCCCCAGCACCCGCACCATGAGAAACCGGTTCCCGCCGATCACCCTGCTTAGTCTGAGGCGATTGTTGGATTTATATCAGGTCGCTTTGGGGCACTATACCCATGTCTGGACCTTTTGGAAAATGGAGAGGCAAGAAAATCGTATTGGTAATGTCGCTTTGGAAAATGATGACGAATATGATCAATGCCCGTAGTATATTTATTATTTGGCATCAACTATGGATTGCGCCGGGGACTAATATCAACTCAAGCTTGTTTTTTAAAGCTGCCATATCTGCTCAAGTGTCACTCAATGTAGCCGCCATGAGTGGACGAATAGAGTCAGTCACCTTTAGTGAAAAGATCGGTAACTCCACTGTAGGTTGTTCTGGTAAACTAGGTAGGATGGCGTGGTTTTTGTTGGAGAGTTACTATGCACACAGCTCCTAACCGCAACCGCACTTTCTCACTACCTACACAACAATTTAGACTACTTCAAGCAAGGCACCATTTAAACCGGATTTTTCGCCAACTAACGTATTTCACCATCGAGCTGCGCACCCCACCTAAAACGCGTCCAGGAATTAGATCTTACTAAATTTAACCACCCACTATGCCACCAATTCGTACTCAATTTTCTCAAAATTCAATAGAGAGAGAGGGTATGATCTTATTAGCTATCTAGGCTATTAAAAGGTGAGAAATTAGCGCTATTCGCGAAGCAGCGCGCTGTTTTTATATAATCGAATCAACCTATTGGAAGCATGTGAATATTCACATGCTTCCAACACCCCCCACGACTAGTACCTTAGTCGTCCTGTATAGTAAAAACACCCTATTCTCCATGAAAAAGCCAGTTTGTACCATGAAATAACCCCCCATTTTTTGTATGTAAATCGAAAATCAAGGCTATAGGTCGCTTTTGTAGGTTGTTAGACTCACCTGCGTCACCCAGCGCTTGAACATCGTTTTTCCGAGAGGCTTTGTGAGACCGTCGGCAGCCATTTCAGCTGTCGGGATTTTGACAAATTTAACATTACCAGCGGCAACCTCCTCTCGAAGGCGATGATACCGAATGGCGATATATTTTTGTTGCTGTATGAAACTCTGGATTCGACGCCAAGGCAATCGCACCATTGTTATCTGTGTGACGATCTGGCCTGGACTGTCTTCTTTCTGCTAGATGTCTCCGCCTTGTTAAAGTTTGCACCGTTTGTCTGACGTGGCAGGACCCCACAAAGGTTCCTATCTCATGGTTTCTTTCCTACAACAGTCTACCCTATAAAGATTTACCACCTCCACAGTGGCGGTGTAGAGATCTGCAT